AAACCAAATCTCCCACAGTAAGAGAATAAAAGCACTTCTTTACTTTCTCTAACACTTATTAAAAGAAATGAATGTTTTTCTAATACTACAAACTAAATATACATACTATCTGTTGGTCTTCAAACAGTAAAAACACCTGCTGGCAGCTCTAAGTGTTTACTACTTGACCAATTGGACTGAATTATCTATATAAATTGTCACAATAATTTATCTACTTATCTAGCATTTTAAAATGCCAGTTTTTCAGTAAAAATTTTTTATAATTAATATTATTTTTAAAGCAATAAAGATTTTAATTTTGGTTCATGGTTTTATAAGTTCAGTCTATGGTCAGCCTCCAAGGAAGAAAAATGGTGGAAGGCCACAGCAGAAGAAAACTGCCCAGGTTATGAAAGCTGGAAGGGGAGACAGAAAGGGAGAGTGAGCAAGTGAACACATGCAATTACTATATGATTCACCATAAAAAGTTCTCTCAAAAAAGAAACAAAATATCAGGCCTAACCTAAGGAATGAATAAATATTTTTATTGTCAACACACAAAGAATGTTTCCCAATATTTCTTTCCCAAAGAATTATTCCCAATAAGCTTTGTACACAAATGATAATACCACACCTAGGAATCACTTTTTACTAAGATAATTCACATGCAAAGTCACCCATTTAACATGTACAATTCAGTAGTTTTCATCTGTAGAACTGTACAATCATCACCACTAATTTAAAAACATTTCTATCACTTCAAAATCAAACGCTATATCTATCAATAGATCACTGCCCAATGCTCCTCCCCCTAGTATTTGGCCATTACTCATCCCCTTTCGGTTTCTATGGATTTACCTATTCTGGACATTTCACACAAATAAAACCAAATACCATGTATCCTGCTTTCATTTAACCATATGTTTTTAAGATTCATCCATGTTGTTTTATGTATCAACACTGCACCCTTTTTTATTGCCAAATAATATTCCATATTTGGAGATACCATATTTGGTTAGTTCATCACCTGATGGACACTGAATTTTCATTTTTTGGCTATTATGAATAATACTGCTATAAACATTCAAGGTCAAGGGATTTTTTTGTGTGTGTGTGTGTGTGTACACACACATGTTTTCAATTCTGCATATATACCTAGGAATGAAATTGCCTGTCATATGGGAATGCTATAGTTAACTTCTTGAGAAATTGCCAACTATTTTCTAAAGTGGCTGCATCATTTTTAAATCCCACCAGCAATGTCTGAGGGTTCCAATTTCTCCACATTCTGGTCAACACACTTATTATTGTCCTTTTTTCTTTGGTTCAGGGTTGGGGGAGGCATCCTAATGAGAGTAAATTGAGTATTTCGAAATCTCTGGGGTTTTGATTTGCATTTTTCTAATGACAAGTATGTAGTAGCTCTGAGACCCTCCCTAAGTCTTTTCAAAGGCAAACTAATGTTTTTTTTTTTTTATTTTGCACTTTTATCCCTTCTCAAGCCCCCCAAAGCTGGGTTAAAATACTCACATCTTTTTTTTGGGGGGGGGCACCAGTAATTGAACCCAGGGACACTTAACCACTGAGCCACATCCTCAGCCCTTTTTAATTTTTATTTTGAGACAGAGTTTCAATAAGTTGCTTAGGCCTCTTTAAATTGCTAGGCTGGCTTTGAACTTGTGGTCCTCCTGCCTCAGCCTCCTGAGTCATTGGGATTACAGGAGTACACCACTACACCAGGCCAAGTGCTCACATCTATAACTACCCAATTGATAACAAATATTAATATTCAGGGCAATCCAATTTCTTCCTTCAATCTTCTATCAAAAGATTGGCATAAAATTTATTATAGTGGTTGTTTTTTTAAAAAAAATTTGGATGGAGCTAAAAAAACCACATTGAACAGAACAATTTCTCCTTACGGCCTCATTAAGCACTTGTGAGGTAGGACATAGGGTTTGCTAAATGAGTTGGAGAAAGTGTTCTAACTGGGCTAACTGGGCTTTCAGCTCTCTGCCTCCAGAGCACAACCACATTACTCCCATACTATAAAAATAAAGCTTTAAGTCTAATTTGGAACACAAGTTCAGATCATGAGACTACTGCTCTAAAGAGAAGGGTTACCACAGTTTAAAATATATCTGCTACCATGAAATTCATGTTAGATTAAGGAGTAAACAGGCCCATTAATTATACTATATTTCTAATTTCACATAATTACCATGAATTTCTTTCACTGGAGAAATTTATACCTTAAAAGTTTGTCGTCTTCTCATCAAGACTCCTTCAAAAAAGCCTTCCTTAACCACCCAGAAATGCTACCTATTTCCTTTATTCACACCATGTTTATTGCTCTTCATTCGCACAGAACATAATACAATGATTTATTTATTTCTTTAGTAGCTTGTACCGCTTCCCAATGGCTCACACAGGGCCTGGCATATAACTCTACCCAAACATTTGCTGAATGAATATATAAATCCTGAAACAATTCCTATCCCTAGTTAGAAGGATGCTGTTTGTAATGCATAGGAGAAATCTCTAAATTGAAGCAAGTTCAGAATGAGTACTGAAATGACCTCAGCAACTGGGATAGTAGGACAAAATGAGTATAAAACAAAATAAGAATTGTGAACCACTCTTGTCCTAAAGCATTCTAGTTTATTTCATAAGATTTGACTTTTCCCTTGGGAATGCTTTAATCAATCTCTCCCACCTCTATTTATCTGGTACTGGGGATTGAACTCTGGGTCTTACGCATGCTAGACATGCACTCTACCCCTGAGTTAAATCCCCATCCCTTTTTATTTTTAGACAGGGTATCCTCCCTACATTGCTTAGTCTGGCCTTTAACTTGCAATCCTCTTGACTCAACCTCTCAAGTAGCTGAGATTACAGGATCTTTATAATTTCCTTTTCTTTACTCTTATCAGAATCTCTGGGTTGGTACAAAAAGTGATAAGCAACACCATCATATTTTATAAGATACCTGTGTTTAATGCAGAGTTAATACAAATATAAGTCGAAACATTCTCAGAAACAAAGCATAGTTTATGTATGTGTGTGTTTGACATAATGGGCTTTAATAACACAAATAGGCTACTAATTTAAATTATCATAGTGACTATAATATAAACTTTTATTTTTTAAAAATCTTGTATGAGTAACTTCAAAAACAAGCATTTTCTTAGCTATAATTATCTATAGCTGAACTATACATCAAGTAGAAACTACATATTAAGTCTGGGTATATAGCTCAGTGGTAGAGGGGTTTATTGCCTAGCATGCACAAGGCCCTGAGTACAATCCCTAGCACTGCCGAAAGAAATTATTTTGGCACTATTCTACTGAATTTGCCATATATTAAAACAAACAAAAAAAGTAAAGTACTGAGCTAATTTTTATATTTAATAATTTATGTATTAAAATATTCATGTCAGCAAACTTTATTTTTAAAGTCAGAAAGAGGGCAACAGCTGGGCACAGTGGGAGACACCTATTATCCCAGCAGTTTGGGAGGCTGAGTTCAAAGCCAGTCTCAGAAACTTAGTGAGACCCTGAGCAACTTAGCAAGACTCTGTTCAAAAAGAAAAAACAAAACAGGCTGGGGATGTGACTCAGTGGGTCAATTCCTGGTACAAAAAAAAAAAAGGTCAACAGTATCAATCTCTAAGAGAATGCCTTAAATCAGGCTTCAATAAGCACATAGCCTGGAACTAATCCCCAAATTCACTCATATTAGATTTTCTATCATTGCAACATTATGGGTATTCTAAATTTTAAAAACATAGTACACCAACAATGAACTATCTTTAAGGTAGTAAAGCTGCACCTGTTAATAACTGCAAGTTTGAGAGTATGGATACAGCTTCACTATTCCACCCATCATCACTTTCTATCCCCCATCAGATTTGTCTGTCTCAGTATCCTTATGTGATATAGCTTATGTTTAAATTAAAGGTTCAGAATTTCACTGTCTCCTCTTCAATAGTAATTCCTGTGACCAGATAAACTTAAATGATACAACAAATAGCTCTTCACCTCTGAAATCTCAAAGCACTCAACTTAAGTCGATTGAGAATTAACCTTCCACAAGGGTCCAAAGGAGTTATTGAAGAATTAAAAATGTAGCATACTATATTCAGTTAATTAAAGAGTGGAAACATTCTTAAGAGCATCCAATTTAATCCAGTCATATTTACATGAGTCAAATTAAGTCAAGAGAAGTCAGATATCTTTCTGAATCAGATGGTTCACTTTCTGATATCATAACCACTTGGATCTCTTGATTCCCAATTGAGGAGGTAATTTTTTCTACATGACAATTTAATTAAATCTAGTACATTATACAACTGTCTTATGCAATAGAGGATGCTAGCCTTTACTGCAGATTTGAAAAGTGGTCTGGCAGAGGTCACAGGAAATGCCAGGTCAGGTCAATGCCATAACCATTCTTCTTATTGGATAATGTACATATAAAACATCACGGACTAACACATTTAAAGAGGCAATACTAAAATGAAAGGCATCAAAAAGAAGTGATTGAACTATTAACAGAGAACTCTCAAAACATGAAAAACTGGGGAAACCACAGAAGAGAAAAATGGAAGTAATTTCTAAGTAATAAAGGGACACAAACTTTCTGATCACTAGGATTTTCATTAAATAGAATGGATTGCTGTAAAATTCAGTAAACCTGTCAAGGAAAAGGTCAAGCTCAGACTGGAAGACAGTCTCTTAAGAATTTCAGAGGTGAGGAATGAACTGCCTAGACAATTCAACTAGATGGCTTCAAAGTCTGATCCAATTAGAGATATTATAATTCTCTTCTAAGAAACTCATTAGCTTTGGGTAATTTGCTCAAGATGAATCACAATATAGGACACAAGTACACTAACTACTGTGCTTCCTCCCTCTGAAAGCCCTATATATATTAGAACAGGTATATTAGAAGTGTGTTTGAAAGATATTGGTAAGCAATCTAAAGATCTTATGGATTCCTGGTATCAACAGAAATCTAGATACTCTGTTTTCTCTTCAGATCATATAAATCTTTTGCCTTTTACTATATATTTCCATAGAAACAATTCCAAGTTTTTCAACTAACTTTTGAGGCCTTGTTTAGGCAGGGCTAGGAAAAAAAAAATGTTTAGATTTTAGTTCTATTGCTTAACTATACAACCTTGAATAGATTACCATTTCCCTAGACCTCGGAGAAGCTCAAGCTGAAGAAATATTCCCTACTTTTTCCATCATCATTATTTTTTAATAATGTATTTTAAAATATGTGTTTGTTATCTGGAGAATCAAAATAACTGGGTGACTCTATAGCATTTATTGGTCCAGGGATGCTGAGTATCCTTCAGTGCCCCAAATGACATTCCTTTCACTGAGAAATGCTGATGAAAGAATCACAAATTTCTTTTCAGGTCAAATTCTGTGAAATTGTTAACATTTTTAGCTAGTAATTGTTAACATTTTAGCTAGTAACTAAAACACAATGAAACATCATATTTTTCTATCCTAAGTAGTTAGTGTAGAACACAACCAAATATTGATTATCTAGGATTACCAGGACAAATTTAATAGAGTTGGTAAAAAAAAAAAAAAAAAAAACAACAACAAAATCTCTTGTTTTTAATGTATAGATGTCAAGAGAATTACCCTTCAATAAACTCAAATAATTTGGTGTCAACATTGTAACCATGACATTATTAATTAATTTACACTTTTAGTTTCTAAGCCTATTTAGTGTTTTCCCCCCCTTATCACTAAATTGGACAGATTGGACAGACTCTTAGGTATTTAGTGGGCCATTAAATTGTGACTTTTTAATCAAAAGAAAAATATTACTTATAACAGCAACCAGAAATATTCAGTCTTAAGAGAAGAAGGTTAATGAATGTCAACAATTGTAATTAAAATAGATATTTAATTATCAATACAAATTATATTTATTGATTAAATTGACTGATGGCAGTACTGGAGATTGAACCCAGGACCTCACAAATGCTAGGCAAAGGGTGTACCACTGAGCTATATTCCCAGTCTCACTTCTATTTTATTTTCAGACAGGATTTTGTTAAATTGCCCAGACTGGACTTGAACTTATGATCGTCCTGTCTCACCATCCTGACTGTGATTATAGGTGTTCTGTAGATTATACCACAGTACATGGCACATATAATTTAATTTTAAAATGAAAGATGTGCTAAAGAATTTTTGGCTTTAGGGGCCAATTTTAAATAATTATACATATGTGTGTAATTTACTTATCATTTTATTTTTAGGCAAATTTTTTCTTACATCAAGAAACATTGCACACACATATAGTAAGTTTTGGAAAACCTGGAAACAAGGGGCTAAAATCAACATCTGAATTTTAATTACTTTTAACACTTCTGGCACAGAATTGTAGCTAGGAATTAAAGGGTATTCTGCTTTTACCACAATAGATTGTTCATTACTTCCTTTAAAATTCAAAGGAATACCTTTTTCCCCAAATATCTGGCTTCAATAATTTGTTTATACCTGTTTTATTTCAGTAGTACCATCAGTACTTATGTCTAAGAATACAGAGCACTAACATTATTTTAATAGATCTTTTATGTAAAAAGGACGATAATATTATACAAGATCATTTCACTGGCTTTTTAAGTGTTTAGAGTCCCTTTTTCATTTTGATGAACAGAAACTAATGTTAGTGTGTTTTCATTAAGGCTTTCTCAGGAAAACATTCAGATGACTATGTTATATAAAACATAATTGTACAATATACAAGGTAATATTTAAACTTGAGATTCTTCATGTTTACTGGCATAAAATTTCTGGCAACAAAAAATATACCTAACATATTTTATGGAATAATTTAATGGTCTGCATAATACTCAAGGATCCATATTCTTTTTACAGAATAAAATCATTCTTAATGATTCCTTAAAATATAAACATAAAAGCCTTCTTTTTAAAAGCTTAACAAATATCAGTACATCCATACTACTATTTGATTTGTTATAAATTACTAATAAATTATCTAAACAATATAAAGACATACAGGTATTAAATGTTAAAACAAAAAAAAATCAGACAAAAAAGGAACCAATCCCCAACAAATTAGTATTTAATTTTCTAGTATTATATCGGTATCTTACTAACATCATAGAGGATGCAAAAAAGTGGCAAATTATTTTTAAATTCTAAATTAAAGAATCTGATAAGAAAATTAAGCTTACAGTGTGTGTTATCTTTCAATCTAAGATGTTAAAAGACAGGTCCATTTGACTTAGCTAAAAACTGGCCAATACTTTAATACAGATTTAGAATATATAGGAAAGTGAACTTCCCAACCATGAAAGCAATGACCTATACCATTTGCTTGTGTTTTCATGGCTCAAAGGTCAGAAATAAGAGAATAGTTTATATTTCTTTGGCAGAGATAAAACATAATCCTTTATACAGAACTTCAGATTTCAGGGAAAACTTCAAATCCAGCAGCTAACAGCTTGTCTCTATTTGCTGTCACTCTAGATCAGAGAAACCCACATGTTTTTTTTCTTTCTTGCCCCCCCTTCTGTTACACTTGAGCTCTCTGACTGAAAAGGTCTGGAACAGATTAAAAGTCGGCCACAAAATAAAAAGCTCTGGCATGTTGTCAAGCCTGTCTGGAATACACATACACAGTGGGCCCAAAAAGGGAAACTAAATGCAATAGGAGAATTTCATGAAACTTTTTTTTGGCATATCTAATTGTATGCGTGTGTGTGTGTGTGTGTGTGTATGGGATAGAAAGAAGTACTTTTTAAAAAATATCTTCCCATGATTAAAACAAAAGACTAAGTGATGGGTATAATCAGTGAATGTATTTAATCTCACAGCAAAGTTATTTTACTTAGCTTTTTAAGTAAAATTATTCATTTAAAAAAAAAAAGAATAAAGAATATATTTTATTTAGTTAGTTGCTGAAAGACCTTTCTTTTTTATTTATATGCGGTGCGGATAATTGAACCCAGAGGCAAGTGCTCTACCACTGACCCACAACCCTAGCCCTTAAGTGAAAATATTCTTAAAAAAGCTTTGATTCCTGATCTCTGAAGTTAATTATGAGTTAATTATCATCTTTCATAATTTAAGGATTTGGGGGGTATTTTACTCATAACACTATTCTTTGAATTTTCCAAAATGTGGACAAGTTCAATTCATTCCAATAAATATGATTTAAGGAAACATGTCCATTGTCATTCCATTCCATACAAATTTATTATATTTTCCACCTTACTTGATTTCCTACTTCAACCACAGGCTTATTCAAATATTAAATAAAATCTGAAGCACAAATTATTAACGTGACACACTGTTTTGTTTAACACCCAAAGAAGTCTTAAAGCTCAAAAGCCTGGCATTTAAGACAAACCGGATCTCTGTCAAAGTCACAGTCTTTGCCTTGATCGCACCTTTGACTTTACTTTGAATAGAGGTTTCGGTCAGTCAATAAAGCCAAATAGTCAGGCAATCTGAGGTAAAACTGAATTCTGTTTGTTTTTAAAGCATATCTAAGACACAGGAGAACTTGTTCATAATGTTCCTGACAGGGAAGTTGTTTTATCCAACCAACTCCCAATAATTTTCTTTTTCTTTCTCCTCCTAGAGTTGTGTTTTGATGGCATTCACAGAGTTAATTCTTCTTTCCTGTAAGGGCCTCACAGTTGTTGTTAGGTCAACCCCTGTACAGCTTCAAAGGTTCCGCTTCCCTTCAGTCTGACATACTCCGTGATCTGCACGTTGTTTTCATTAAACTGCATCTAGTCCATGATGAGAGCTTCAAAACCACAATTATCTGCTTCTTTTTAGACTCATTTTTCCATGGCTTTGGAAAAATATCTCAGAAACTCAACTGAAGAAACTAAAAACAGTGGGAAAATATGGATAAAAGGGCACTAAACAACTCGTATACTCTTATCACAATGTGCACATTTGAAAGGGAAGAGTTCCTCTGAGCACTGGTGATTTATCTATGTCATCTGGAGGGAAATATGGCATGCCTTTTGCTTCTTATATAAAAAACAAAGAGAAGTATTTTTATTTACAAAAAAGAAAAATGGGCAAAAGAGGGGAAAATGCTTTCATTAGACCATTTCTAGGGCTACAGGTCCCCCCAATCACTACCACTTAGAATAACACCCAAGCATGGGATGGTGCCCATCACTCTCTGAAGTTAAACATAAGCAGACACCAGGTCACTTACAAAAGCTTGTACTCCAGATTTTCAGTGTTATCTGATAGCCTAATTATTTCAGTGTTATCTGACAGCAATCAGATAGAGAGAGACCATTATCAACAAGGTGGATTTGTTTCCCCAAAACATGAATTCTGGTTAGTAAGTAAGTAACAGTAATTCTGATTAGTAAGTGACTATACTATTCTCTCATCCAATCCAGACTAAAAAGTCAAGTTAGACCTAAACCTCTAAAATTGAAAATGAAAAGGTAAAAAAACAATAATGGGAAAAGTTCAGTGAGCAGTCATTTTTAATACTATGAAGCAATGCAGTTTTAAATGTGCTTTCCTAAATTCACACATTAAAAAAGTAATCAAAAATATCTAAAAAGGTTTTGAGATGAACCTTTACCAAAACGAGGGTCAAGCCTTGGGTCTAGCCAAGAGGTGGTCTTGTTCTTATGGTTTATATAGTAAATTTCTCCATCCTGAGTCATGGCTTGCTCCCATCCATCAGGAAGAGGACCTATAACACAGAAGAATAAATAAATAAATAAATCAGGATTGGTTTCAATTTGGTGCACCTAAGGGGAAAAAAAAGTGGGAAGAATGCTATTTTAAAGAGAAAACACATCTTAACATAAAACAATTCATTAAAACAGATTAAAAGTCTGTGTTCAGAGAAGAAAGTTAAACCTTGTACCTAATTTTTCTCAACTAAAAAGAAACTACCAAATAATAATATTGACATCCCCAAAGACACAAATGACAGGGAAAAAAATCCTTTTGGAAGTCATAACCCAAAAAATTATTACTGTTAATACAAGTCATGGAAGTGCTATAGTACAGGGACTTAGTTCCCAGCCCAATCAGTTTTGTGACAGTACCTTATTAGGGACTTCAAGGTTCTGTAATAAGAAATACATGCAGGTGTTTTCAGAACATCTAAAATATTATAAACATTTTATTTAATACAGTGCACACTTTTAGCAAGAACTGCCAAGCTCCATTTATTTCCATTATTTATTTGACTGGCTTACACCAAGAAAACTATAATTTAGAAAACTACTGTCCAAAAAGCACATTTTTAAAAAGTCCAGGTGGGGATGGGTAGTTGGAAGTTTGCTAAAAGCTTGGAAGAGGGGCAGAGTTAAATGTTAGGAATGCTAATGCTGTTAGAAAGCAAATTTCTCAAGAAGAAAAGGAGGAAGATGAAACATTTCAAAGCTACAGAATGAAGAAACAACATCTGGGAGATAGGACTACAGAATACTCTAAGACTTTTGTTTTAATGAGGGTAGCCAGACAATTGCTTTGGGGAGGTAATAGTCCTTGGATAACTTGGATAAACAAGTCCAACAATAGTCAATGAATGCCTTTGAGAGTTTCAACAACCACAAGAAACTTTCATTAGAAGCTTAACTATGCAGATTCTTTCTTTTGCAGTACCAGGGTCTTGTGCATGCTACCACCACACTATATTTCCAGTGTGACTCTATATCACTTCTCAGTAGCATTACTCTTCCCCTTAGTTATCCGAGTTAGAACTACAAGACGTATCTTAGATACAAACAAAACTTTTCCTACCTGCTCCATCCATTTCATCCTGGACATTCCAATTTCATTCTGATTTATCTCCCCTAGTTGGTCTCTAAGAGCTCAGACATCAATATTTACCATCTCTTTTTCTTAACTGTCAGAGCTTCCTTCCTTGGTGTCTGACTTCTCATCTCTTTTACTCAACTACTTTGTGTCAAACAGCCACCAGGGTTTTCTTAAAATTCTTTCTTTTTGTGGGGTGGGTTAGAGTCTGGGGACAAACAAGGGGCTGGCAAATGATAGGTAAGTGCTCTATTTCTGAACCACATTCTTAAAGTCCTTTCTAATCAACTTTTATATGTCACTCCTTCTCTCACTAAAAGTATTTCCATTGCTCTCTACTATCAAAAGGAAAATGCCCAAATCCTACACCAACTGGACTGCTTTCTTTTTTTCTTTCTATTTTTCAGTACTGAGGATTGAACCCAGGACCGCATGTACACTAGGCAAGGGCTCTACGAATGAACTACATCTTTAAGCAGGGTCTCACTAAGTTGCTCAGGCTGGCCTTGAATTTGTGATCTTCCTACGTCAGCTTCCCCAGCAGCTGGAATTACAGATGTGTGCCACCTCATTCTTCTTCTTCTTTTCTGGTACTGGGGATTTAACCTAGGAGCTCTTTGCCACTCAGCTTTATCCATGGCCCTTTTTATCTCTTATTTTGAGACAAGGTCTTACTAAGGTGTTGCAGGTCTCATTAAGTTGCTGAAGCTAGAAACTTCCCATGTTCCTTCCTCAGCTTCCTGAGTCACTGGGATTACAGGCATACAACCTTGCATCCAGCTGGATTTATTTCTTAAATTGGCTTCACTCTCCCAATTTTCTCAACTTTTCATGAAGTTCTTCTTTGTATACATTTATTGATTTATGCTATTATTAACAAGAGTACATTGTGAGAGAGCTGATAGCAATAGCACCTCCACCACTAATAGTTTCATCATCACCAGTACAAGATGATGAAATTACACATTTAAATCCACAGATCCGTGATCTGCCCAGAACTCTGAAGGGCGGTGGGTGGGAGAGATTATTTGGAGACTGAACCTAAGACCTGGAAATGTGGAATTTGAAGGTGATTTAGGGGACTAAGAACTGGGTCTCTCACCACACGAGTGGAAACCAGGGGAGATCCCTGGTGTACAGTCCGGTGTGGACCAGCAAGTATGGGCACTGAGAAGCGTGATGATTTAAAATCTCCAGACCAACTGGCATTCAGTAAGAGTCTTGAACCTACATAAGCCTGAACCCTGCCTCCATATATTCCACCTAAGGAATTACCTCACTCACTCCAGCAATCCAGAGGATGAAGCATAACCCTCCAGATGACCCCACCTAAAACTACTGAGAATCTTTTAAACTCCAACAGAAAGAATTCTTAAATTCATCAAGATCATTTATTTTTTCTTACTTTTTTTCTTTGTTTAATTGTGGCCTTAATGGTACATGGGCATTTATACATATTCATATTTTTTTCTAATTTCTGACATCTTTGAAGCAAGTTATTTTTTTCTGGATAAGTTTTTTGTGAACTAGGATGTTTGATGAGTATATTTTAGGTTTATTTGTTTGTTTGTTTTTGTGGTGCTGGGGATTGAACCCAGGGCCTTGTTATGTAAGGCAGGCATTCTACCAACTGAGCTATATCCCCAGTCCCTCTTTTATTTTTTTTAAATTTTTACTTTTTATAATATATATATGTATATTTTCTTCCTGTTTCCCTTAATTCTCTTTTCTTCTGCTAACAGCCATTCTCTATTGTTCTCTTTCACTCTTCCTTTAACTTTTTACTTCTCTCTTCTTCCCTTAAAATCATCACATCTTATATCACTTCTGTTCCCCCTGCCCCCGCCTACCATTTGAAACTATAAACCCTTTTGCAATCTTGTTATTTTTATTGTAGGCAATAGCTTATCGCATCATTTCTATCTGTTGTGATAATTAAACCAAATAATAATTATTTGGTTTAATGCTGTATAGTGTTTGCATTAGTGGTTATTATTATTTTGTCTCCCCCTAAACAGCAAGGTAGTGGAAACCTTAAGGGATACTTTAAGTCCACAGGGCAGAAACTCTATTACCTTAGATCCATACACTCAGATAGGTAGACACAAAAATAACATGAAAAAGCAAGGAAACAAACTGCCCCAAACTAACCAATGTACTCCAATAACATAATATATTGACACCATAGCATTAGAAATGTCAGGAGTTGGGGAGGGGAGATAGTAGGGGATAGGAAAGGTAGCAGAATACAACAAATACTAATAGGGCATTATGTAAAATTGTGGATGTGTAACCGACATGATTCCGCAATCTGCATTTGGGGTAAAACTGGGAGTTCATAACCCACTTCAATCTAATGTATGAAATATGATATGTCAAGAGCTTTGTAATGTTGTGAACAACCAATAAAAAAAAAAGTGTAAAAAAAAAAGAAATGTCAAGAGTTCAAAATGTACATAGTTAAGCTGATGTGCAAATTAAGGATGGTATAAGAAATAAAATTAGAGAGAAAATACAGGAAGTAAATCACTTCAATAAAAAGGCAGAGATTAAGTGGAAAACCTTGAAATGAAGGAAACAAGTAACCAAATTAAAAATTCAATGGAAAGCATCACCAACAGACCAGACCACTAGAAAGACAGAACCTCAGGCAATGAAGACAAAATATATAATACTGAAAACAGAATTGACCATGGAGAGAAGATATTAAGAAACCACATACAGAACTTACAAGAACTACAGGATACATGAAAAGACCAAATTTAACATTTATCAGGACAGATGAAGGCAGAGATACAAACCAAAGGAATGCACAATCTTTTTAATGAAATAGCATCATGAAATTTCCCAAACCTAAAGAATGAAATGGAAAACCAAATACAAGAGACTTACGGGAACCAAATGTACAAAATTACAACAGACCCCCAACAAGGCACATTATAATGAAAATGCCTAACATACAGAATAAGGATAGAATTTTAAAGGGTGTAAGAGAAAAATATCACATTACCTATAGGGAATAACCAATTAGGATCTCAGCTGTTTTCTCAACCCAGACCCTCTGCTGAGGGCCACTGCCAAGTAGGAATGACGCATCGAAATTTCCTTGCCAGCGTACCCCATGTTAAATGGATTTGCCTTGGAAATTCGCTGTGACATTGCATGTGTGTTTGAGAAAAGTGACCCTGCTCAAGGACCAGGGTGGATCCAGGTTTAGGGTGTATCCTGCAGGTTTTAGGAAGTATCTGGCTCCTTGGGTTTAAGGCGTTCCTGGTTTAAGACAAGTTTAGGGCATTCCCAGTTTAAGATTATTCCTGCTGGGAATAGGGCGTATCCTGCTGCCTGAGTTCCCGTTGAGTTCTCCTGGAATTGAGAAAGTATTTGGGACGTGTATTGCGCGGCAGAACTTGGATTTCTCCAGAACGTGTTTGTACGAGGCCGGTGTGAGTTCAGAATAAAGGATTGCTGTTTGAATCTACAAGGCGTGAGTGGCTCGTGATTCTGTGCCCAGCCAAGACTGCGGCAACCCTCAAAGCTAGGTGGTCCTGGAATAGTATATCAAGCTCTGAAAGAAAATGAATGCCAATCAAGAATCTCATCCAGCAAAATTATGCTTCATATTCGAAGATGAAATGTAAACCTTCTATGATAAACAAAAGTTAGAAGAATTTACAACTGGAAAGCCTTTATCTCAGAATATTCAACAAAATATTCCATAAATATGAAATGAAAAAAAAATGAAAACCAGCAAAGGGAGGAACTACACTAAAGAAATAGTCAATCAAAGCAGAAACTAATTCAAATTTAAAACTAGAAATAAACCCAAATGACTGAGAATATAAATCATATCTCAATAATAACCTTGAATATTAATGGCCTAAAACCATCAATCAAAAGACACAGACTGGCAGATTGGATTGAAAA